TACAATAATAAAAAACTAAAGTGATTTAAGATGAAGTCTGCACACTGCGTGGTGTGTTTGTCTCTGTGTGGTTGATTAGCGTGCTGTGGTCTGCATTGCTCTCCGCCCAGCTGTCTCTCTCTGTACCTGTGCGGATCTCTCGCACTACCTCACCATACCTCTCTCTCTCTCTCTCTTGTTTTCTTTCCTTTTATTCTCTTTTCTTCTATGCCACAGACAGCTGTTACACTTAGGCTACAGTACACCTTGGGGAGACTTTCATCTAGTGTTTTTTTTTTATGACACTGCTTGAATGTGCAAAGGTTTTAATTAGCTCAATCCCAGACAGGCCCCAGGGCTGCAGCAGCGCCACTCTGTCTACTGCCTATGCCACTCTCTCACTCTCTCTCCATCTTCACCCGCTCTCTCGCCCTCTGCCTGTCCCCTTACAACCCCAGCACCTTCTGGCTTGTCCTGCTTGCCCTTTCATTCTATCTTTCTCTTTATATTTCACCTCCCTTTTCTCATTTTGTGTCCCCCTCAGCAAAACAAGCCGCTGTACTCCTTTGAGGATAATGCAGACTACGTCTACGATGTGATGTGGTCTCCCGTGCACCCCTCGCTCTTCGCCGCCGTGGACGGCATGGGTCGTCTGGATCTGTGGAACTTGAACAACGACACTGAGGTGAGGTAACGCTTTCGGTCTGGTCCCCCAGATCACGCAAGGCCAAAGATGCATCAAAACAACAACAAGATCCTTTCTGTGTGGGCGTCTCCCGACAGGCCGCCCTTAAATCAGCTTTCTGACAGCTCCTCACAAACAGCTCGCACAACACTCCAGCGGCGTTCCTTTCCACAGACGCACACACACATAGTCTGCAAGCTTACGGCTAATTACTCCGATGTGTGCGGATTCCTCTCTCTCCACCATTCCAGAGTCAGTGAGTTCCCATGGGCTGCAGCCCAGCACAGCGGTTTAACCTGGTCTGCTAAAGCCACTGTCTTTCAAGACCTTCAGGGACTTAGGGACAATCACAGCTTTACTTATTGTATAGGGCTGTGGTATACTGCAAAAAATATTTTAAATATTCTTCTAAACATTCATAAAACAAGACACATTTACTTTGGAAGCAAAATTGTTTAAGAAAATAAGACTTGTCTTCTATCAATATTTATGTAATTTATATATTGTATTTTAAATATTATTTTATATTTTGTATATTTGTATAATTTTATACAATTCAATTATATGTACCATTTTTATTAGTTTTAATTTAATTAAGTTTATTTTTCTCACTTCACTGGAAATAAGAATAACGTGTTTTAAACATTAACCTCATAAAATTTTGTTAATGTTTACTTTAATATAAAAAAAATTTTATTGTAAAAAAATCTATAAAAACTATATAAATATATGAAAATAACATTATATTAAAAATATATAATAATCAACTAATATTCAAGATACATCCTCTGAGAACAAAAAATTATTTGCCATAACTAAAAAAACATTTTTTCATATTGTTTTAACCATTAATCTCATTACATTTTGTTAGATTTGTAGTTTAATATACAGATTTTATATATTTTGATTATAAAAAGTAAAATACTTCAATAAAAACCAAGTACATTTATGAAAATAAAATTATATTAAAATATAAAATAAACAAATATTCAAGATTTATTCTCTAAAAACAAAACAAAAAAAGAATAATTTGCCATTACTCCACTGGATTTTTTAAAATCTTGTTTATCTCAATTTGTAATTTAATATACAATTATTTAGAGATATATTCTCTAAAAACAAAAAATAATTTGCCATTCAATTAAGAAAAATAAATGAATTTGGATTATAAAAAATGAATAGAATTATTACAAATTATAAGTACAAAATAATTCAATATAAACCTTTGAAAAAAAGTCTTAATATCTAAAGCAGTTTTGCTCAATGATGTTTTTAAGGATGTTTAGATTTTTTTCAATCCTGATTCAATTGATTTTTGCAGTGTATTGGCATGCAGACTTTGTAGAACGGTGAGGTCATATTAACTGTCATATACTGGATCTAATAGCGCATGTCACTGATAATGGAGTGTCATCGTACATCACATGCTATGATGTTGATTCATGTGACAGTTGACTTAGTGCTACATGGACCATTCACACAATACGTCAGTCTGTAATGGTGTACATGCCTCACCACAGCGCAGAGTCCAGCGAGAGCTGTTGGGTGTTACGTCTCTCCTGTGTGAGATGAGATCTGCTCTGACTGACACTGCCTGTCCACTAAGGAATACACACCCACTTTAATTACATACTGCTCTGAGATCTGCTGTTCTTGACTCTATAGCCATCTCTCTCTAACCATACGCTGTGGGTTTGGTGGAAGGTAACCAATAAACAGCTCACTGATTGTAAATCACATGTACTAAAGTCAAATTGAAATCAAAACTGACCCTATTTACCTTCTAACATACGTTTCTGGTCTGACTGAATGATTCCTGGAAAATAATGTTTGTTAACGTAATCATTCATTATATATATAATAATATATTATTCAAGATATATTCTCTAAAAACAAAAAATAATTTGCCATTCAATTAAGAAAAATAAATGAATTTGGATTATAAAAAATGAATAGAATTATTACAAATTATAAGTACAAAATAATTCAATATAAACCTTTGAAAAAAAGTCTTAATATCTAAAGCAGTTTTGCTCAATGATGTTTTTAAGGATGTTTAGATTTTTTTCAATCCTGATTCAATTGATTTTTGCAGTGTATTGGCATGCAGACTTTGTAGAACGGTGAGGTCATATTAACTGTCATATACTGGATCTAATAGCGCATGTCACTGATAATGGAGTGTCATCGTACATCACATGCTATGATGTTGATTCATGTGACAGTTGACTTAGTGCTACATGGACCATTCACACAATACGTCAGTCTGTAATGGTGTACATGCCTCACCACAGCGCAGAGTCCAGCGAGAGCTGTTGGGTGTTACGTCTCTCCTGTGTGAGATGAGATCTGCTCTGACTGACACTGCCTGTCCACTAAGGAATACACACCCACTTTAATTACATGCTGCTCTGAGATCTGCTGTTCTCCACTCACCCATCTCTCTCTAACCATACGCTGTGGGTTTGCTGGAAGGTAACCAATAAACAGCTCACTGATTGTAAATCATATATACTAAAGTCAAATTGAAATCATAACTGACCTTAATTACCTTCTTAACATACATTTCTGGTCGGACTGAATGATTCTTAGAAAATAATGTTAATGTTATCTTTCATAAAAAAAAAAAAAAGGCCTTTTGTAATCAAGCCCTCTTTGACCACTTTTCATAAGTATATATATATATATATATATATATATTTACCAAGCCCTCTTATTTTTGATATAGTGACCACATTTAAAGATCCTATCTCATTAGATAAAACCAATCCCATCCTATTATTAGTTTCAATATCCTGTTTAACTCAAGTGAAATGGTAAAAACCAAAAGTAAAATGCAGACACCATGTCTTGTTGTTTTAAAGACTGGGGACACAATGTGAGCTGAATTTAAACCCACATCTGCCACTTGAGCACCATGTGCTTTATGCTACCCACTAGGGCACAGTACATAGGGTACTTTGATACAGTATATACTATGGTAATAAATGATTACCATATAAGTATAGGGATGCACCAATATTAAAATTCTGTCTGATAATCCATTAATTATTTTAATATTCTGACTGATAACTAATAAATGAATGATACTAAAAAAAACTCCATACTATTTTGTCAAAATAAATTACAAATAAACAATGCAATACAAATAAAAACAAAAATTTGTTATATTCAATGCTTCAAGTAAATTTAGGCATCACAATATTATAATGTTCAGTATGAAAAATGCATTTTTTTTTTTTAGATTTGCTAAAGATTCTATTTAACACTGTTAATAAACTATTAGTGTTTTTAAAGATTAACTTTAGGTGAGCGTGTGCAATTAATATCAAAGATGGGTCAATATTATTGAATATTACATTAAAGTATTACAAATATTAGCTAATATTTGATATTTACTCTAATATCGGCCTTTGTTTTAGTCCATTCAGCTCATAATCGATATGGTACCAATATATTGTCCATTCATATTTGTATAACATGGTATTTACATGGTACTCTACATTCTAAAATTGTTAAAGTTATTAAGACAATTTCATTCAAGTTACTACAACTTTTTAATATTTAAAAAATCTATTCAAATCAATTTAATAAAAAAATCAATTAAAGCAAAAATTGTGTGTGTGTGTGTGTGTGGGTGGGTGTCCTCTCAAGAACAATGCGCGTTATCCAAAACATCAGGAGCCAACAGTGCCATGGCATCGCGCATGCTGACGCACACACCGACACATGCATAAACAGGCAAAGATCTTGTGCCAGAAAGCAGCCAACAGTTCTCCATTGTCAACTTATAAAGAAATTCACCCATAACACCATTAACAGACTGCGGGCTCGCCTGGTTCCAATTTACGCAAAGAGAAGCTTGCAGCTTAACCTTGCAGTTGACTCTTGGAGGAAGCTGCTCGCTAATAGCTCTCAGGCTGTGGTTAGCCTGTTCTGAAGCGAGAAAGCTTTTGTATTAGCCAGCGTACAGCTTCCATCTTTGCTGACAACATATGTCACGCCAGTCTTAACTGTCATAAGTAATAGGCAGAAGTCATCTTCACACACGCGCACAAACAGAGCCTGTGTATCGCTTTAATGTGTGCAGAGCAACTTTTCATGATGATTTATGAAATCATTAAAAGCGCTCGTAGTTATTTCCAGTAGAGCTGTGGGTTCATGTCTTCTTCCTATTAGAGCTCAGCTTTGACTAGGCATCCTAACAACATCATTTTATCACAAGGGCTCTGTATGTTTACATTATATGAGTTATAGGCTAATATCCAAAAACTGAGGACACATTTTCTGTAGTGAGATTCGCCAACTGTAGTGAGTCCAAATCCTCTTTGTTATAATTTATTGTATTTTTCTATATTTCTATATTCTAGCATGAATTTGAGGTTGATGGTTGATATTTTATACATTTTAAAGGTGAGCACACTAGGGCTATACGATCCACATTCATTTTATAATTCAACATTTGTCTCATTTGTGTTTTTATTCCTTCTAATTAATATTTGAAGAAATATGGAGTTAGCAACATGACAAAAAGTTGATCAAAAGTAAAACCTTTATGTATGATTTCTTTTTTTTTTTTACTTCATTCATTAAAGAATCATGGGGGGAAATGTTTCACAGTTTCCACAAAAAATATTTAGCAGCACATTTGTTTTAAACATTGATGATAATAATAATAATAATACATGCTAATCAGCATATTAGAATGATTTCTAAGTGATCACGTGACACTGAAGACTGGGGTAATGACTGCTGAAAATTCAGATTTGCCATCACATAAATTAATTACATTTTAAATAAATTAAAATAGAAAACAGTTATTTTAAATTTCAATGATATTTCACAATTTATTTTATTTATTTTTCATCAAATAAATGCAGACTTGGTGAGCATAGGAGATTTATATCAAAAACATTTAAAATTCTTAGTGTATATGCCGGTATATATTTCACCGTGAAAGAGACTTAATTCAAAAACATTCAAAAAATCTTGCCGACCCCAAACTTGTAATGTGAGTAATTCACATATTGTGTGTTTGATATGTTTGATATATGATTAGAGGTGTGTTTTGTGTCCAGGTGCCCACCGCTAGTGTGACAATAGAGGGAGCCCCCGCTCTGAACCGCGTCAGATGGGCCGCAGGGGGCAAAGAGGTCGCCGTGGGAGACTCAGAGGGACGTGTGTGGATATACGACGTTGGAGAGGTATGAATCTTTTGTCACTAATACGTATCGTAATGTGCAAAATTACTGTTATTATTCTTCTCTCAAGATTATTTTTTCAGCTGTATGGCAGCTTTATGAACATAATCAACCCAGTATGGCCTGGATTATTCAAGTGGAAGTGAAATTGAATCTCTCAGAGTTTGACATAAAGGGTTTGCATGTTTACCAAGCTCCGCGTGGCTAGCTTGTTTTTGTTCGAAACGTACTTCCTTATTTTAAGACAGTCTCCACATGACTAAACCACCGCCAAAGAGTGGCAAACCACCAGGACTCCCATGCTCACCATGTTCTTTTCGGTCTCCGGGTTTCGCCTCATGTGTGGGGCAGTGCTAATCTTAGCGCAGTGTATTGTGGTAATTGGAGAGTATGTCGGTCGAGCATGTGGGCTTCTTGGGCTGATGATAATGGTGGGTCATCAATAAAATGAAGTGAAGGAAAGGAAAGTTGAAGGGTTTAGGTGGAATGTGGCTTATTTACAAAAGACTTTGACATGAAGCACTCAACATGGCCTCTATCAGCAGAGGCAGTCACCAACCTCCAGTCGCGGCAAGAAGTACCACTTCTGACGACTGCCAAGGTCCCTTCGTGTTATATTTAGTAGACTGTGTTAAATATTTGCTTTGGAACACCACAGCATGTTTTCGTTACGCTTGAGTCATATTGCATAAATTTCAGATGTCATTTTGGGTGGTTTACAGTTGAAGTTAAATAGATTTTATTCTTCAACCGCGGGTCACCCCCTGTATGAGAGTTTTTTTAAGGCCAGAATTATAATCTATGATGTACTAAAGCTAAAGATTCTCTTTAAACTCTTGCTTTGCTGCTGTATAATTCTAGTTGACCATAGAAGAAGACAATTTATGCAAATATCTGCTCTACTGCCCCTTGTGGCAACACAAAGAATGCAACACGTATTAGTCTTCCATTATGAATTCTGTTCAGACAGTCGAGTGTTTGTGTTCATGTTCTTGCCTGACACTATTACTGCAGTTCATACAAACCATGATTTTCTGTACACCCCTTCTATGACCAGCATGAATTTGATTTAAAATTAATTTTTTTTAAGAAGCAAGGTTAAACATCTAATTAAATCTTATAAAAAATGTTAAAACATATTTTATTATTTTCTAGAAAATATATTTTAACTGCTTCACTTATTAATATCTAAATAAATTATGTCTGCAAAATGATGTGATCAACCAACCTGCAGAAAAAAAGAGCGGACCCATCAGACCATAATGTTAAGTATGTCATGTCATATATTTGACATATGTCATATATTTTTAGGCTAGTTTTTTTTTGTTTTCAAAATGTTATTTTGCAAATCCCTAAAAATTTGAATTATGATATCTTGAAAAATATATTTAAAATATTTGATTAAGATGTAAAGGGACAAAATTGCAATAATTTTACTCAATTATACTTCATGACATTTTTAGATTTATTAAATGTAAACATTTCTTTAAAAAATGGTATAAAACTATTTCAAAAAACATACATATGAAACATTATAATAATATATACAGTATATATACAGTGGTGGGCAAAATTTGTTTTTGTTTATTTGAATATATATATATATATATACTATACATATACATAAATAATTATGTATAGTATACAGAATATAGTGATGAAATCCCAGTGTTATAAGGTCATTTATTGATGAAGGCCTCTTAAGACCCCCCTGCTGTACTATAAAAGAGCTTGATTTGGTCTTGGGTTTGGAAGTGGCTGTCATCTCCTCCCACCTCTCTATTCCTGTTTAATTATACCCTGTAGATCTCTCTCTCTCTCTCTCTCTCTCTGTCACCCAGCCGACCCATAGTCCCCATCTTCCCCTTCCTGAGAACTGACACGATAAATATTCAGCACTCAAAGGCCAAACAAGCAGCTTTGTTGTTCTGTCTCTGAATCACAATGTGTGGTGATCTCTTTCCTCTCCCACACTGTGACAGCACATGTAATGCGTAGCTTTTGCTCTTGATGTGGCATTTTGGAGGGGTGGGGGGTGTTTTTGCCACTAGATTTCTAAAACGCTCATCTGTTGCAGCTGGCTGTGCCCCACAGTGAGGACTGGGCCCACTTCGGCCACACGCTGATGGAGATCCGTGCCAACCACGGGGACGGTGAGGAGGAGGGGCCTGTGGAGCTGGCCACGTAAACACCGGATCAGAGTCATCACCAACCCAGACTGAGCCTGATGTAACACACCCAATTAGCATGTCCACTAGTACTGTGCTGTTTACTCCAATAAAAGGGACCGTTGATCCAAATAATGAAATATTACTAGGGCTGAGAAAAAATATTGCATGATTTTTTCCTTCAAACCAGTTAAGTGCAAATCCTACCCCACAGCGATTCCATTGATCAACTCAATCATGCAGTCACCAGTCAAGAAAAGTTCAGAAATATCTTCAGTGGATCAAATCGATACAAACAGTAGGCCTAATGCTAACAGGATGTGCTACCAAGTTATACTGAGCTTAGGGTTTAGGTTGAGGTCAAAGTTTAGTATTATATTGTGCAGGCAGTCTGAGCCGTGATTTACATAACCAATATGGTCTTTAGAATCAGCTATGCGGTGGGGTTTTGTGCATAACTGGTGTAGGGGGGAAAAATCATGAATAAATATTGATTTTCTGATTATTTGCTGACAATTCCTGAAATCTCAAGATTAATCTTTTACTCTGGCTGTGTCTGAAATCACATACTCTCTAAATAGTTAAGCCTACTTTAAGTAATTACTTAGAGGCTGTTTAAAAAGTATGTTCGGTAAAGTATGGATGTGTGTAGTATGAACTTTATGAAGACATACTACATTCGTTGTCATTGTCATGTGACCTGCTGGTCTCCTGAGATAGTAAAGTGTCCATGTGCACACTTCAGAATCTCACTGAAAGTAGGGACATTTTTTCTCCTACTGTGAATTCGGTCATACTACTTTTTTAACATAGTGTTTATCGCTATATAGTAAGGAAGTAGTTTATGTGATTTCGGATGCCAGCGTGACAATGTATTTGCGCTATCCGTCCTGTACATGTCGCTAAACTAATTTACCTAAATGCACAGTTTGGGCCATGTTGTTATTTTTTTAATTTATATTTTTCGTAATGTGCAGGCTAATGTACGAAGTTACCAGGTTCTCTGTATCACTTGTTTTTTGCATCGCTTTCCAGCAGCTGAGTCTTCAGTGCCACGGCAAAGGAAATCTGAATATGAGTTTGTTGTCTAGATGACTGTACAGCAAATTAATAAGAAACGTCTTTCTACTGAGTTGTCCTTGCGGAATGCATGTAAAATAAGCATACACGACCAATGTTGTCTGAAGACAGTGCGACTGGTAAAGACCGATTACCGAAAAGAATGACTTGAATGAGCCCGTTCATTAATTACATAATTTACAGGATTAGTAACGAGTGTCTATCATATATCAGCTAAATAGACGTTGTAACTGTTTTACTCACCACTGTCTTTCCATAATGAACGTGAATAATGAACACATTCTTTTTATGGGAAAGAGCTGCTTATTTTGTCCTACACAAAGTCATACAGGTTTGGAATGACATGAAAGGTAATTTTCATATTTAGGTGAACTATCTCTTTAATGTTGTACTCATGGGTTTGTTACTAAGCATTTGAAATTAGGTTTCATTTCCGTGAGCTTTTTGTCGTGCGAGAGTTCATTGTATTTTTACTTTACGTCTCATTACCTTGATGGCAATTCATGTTAAATCAGTTAATAACATTTTTGAAAATGTGCATTTCAGAAATGTGAATTAGAAATAACCTCCTGTTAGAAAGGCATCTTCGATGTTGGTTTGTGGTCATTTTTAGTATACTTGATTATTGTGTGTGTGTATATTTTTGTACTGAGCCCCTGCATGAAGCATTGACAAATTAAGTTATATACAAGTTGGTGACCGTGTCAACAATATTCACAGTGGCTTTCTCATCAGTGTTACAGTGATGCAAGCAGGTATTGAGTGTATACTAAAAGATGTTTCACATGTTAGAAATGATGTTACTGAAAACCATAACTGTGTGGCTAAATGAAACAAGTGTTGGCAAATAAAATATGCTTCTAGCAACCATTTTTGTTTGATCTCCTTTAATAAATCTGTCCATCAGTGCATCTATTGCTGCCATACTTACAGTAAGGCACAATGTTTACACACTACATGTACAATCAACTCTACTCCTGTACAGCTCAATTTAGTCTTCACATCATTTTTAAGGGGTTGAGAAATACAGTACCCAGACTGACAAACATCATGTGTAAAACCCTACTGCGGAGTCTCTCATTTCACATTGACCATAAATTGCCACTGCGTGTAGATTCCCAACACACAAATGTAACACTATACAAACATAAATATGAAATACTATAATACATTCAAATATGAGAGTACACATCAGTAATGAAATGAACTGCCCAATGAGTGCTATGTGCTTAGTTTTATGGTAAAAGGAGGAGAAAGGAAAATGTAAACAGTTGCACATCTATCATTTAAACAATACAACATGGTCATTTCCAACTGGATATGCTTGTACTGTTTTAAAACCCTGCAATATGCATCAAGAGACATGTTCATTAAATAAATAAACTGTAGTATATCTAACTGACCATTTGAATTGACTGGTTTGTCCATATCCATTTAGCTGGTTTGCAACAGTTTGCTAAAGGTAATTTTTTTCTTCAGGTAAATAAAAAATATAATAAAACAACTGAAAGGATCAAATAAAATAAAAATGTTTGATTTACATTTAAATTAAATCAAAGTCACACTACAATCCCACTGAAGAATCCAAGACTTTGTGGTAGATTTAAAAAATATTAAACATCATCCCATCTAATGTTGTACTTTAAAGTTGTCATTTGCACTAACAATCACATAAAACATTATTTCCAGTTCATCTGCTGAAGGTTTTATGTTCTCAACAAGAAGGAAGGTTCCAGTGCTGCTGAAGTGGATGTGTGTGGGGCGGCAGGCGCTCGGAATCGTGGTAGATGCAGTCCAAATTTACTCTCGATGCCAGCAAACGTGGCCACAGCCAACCTGAAGCCACCGATGTGGTCAGGATTGGGCGCCGGGAGGCTGATCCGAGACTTGGGAGTAGGCTCTGCGCCAGCTGGTTTTCTGTGGTGAGGAGAGAGGGAGAGAGAAGATGGATGAGGAAACTTCACATTCTGCTGTGTCCTGTCAGAAAGAATAAACAGCCTGTCTGAATACTGAAAACAAGAATATTTTCCCCTCAAGTTATGGAACACAAAATAAATGAATAGACCAGAACCGGTTTCTCGCCTTCCTTTTTTTTTTTTTTTTTTTAAACAAAAAAAAAAAAAAAAAAACTTTCCATTTAGGACACAAATCCTATTTTAGGATGTCCTCTTACCATGTTTGCCTGAATGAAATCATAATCATGTAGCTCAGATCGGTCTGAAGCACCAAAACCAGACATGTCCGCATAAGCAATAAAATAAACATGTCAATGTCTATGTGCTTATGTATATTTATGACAAAGGAAAGAGCATGTAAATAGAGTCTCACTATGACCACATACAAAACACATCTTTTCATTCATTCTGTATATGCATGTGCTATTTTCTCAGTTTCTCTATTTTACTACAGCTTTTGGAATACATGATTCTGTCAATTGTGGCATTGAAATATTTTTTGGGAATAACTTACAGTAATAACTTTATATTTGACCACTGTCCGAGGCAAATAATTTTCTACATACACTACCATACAAAAGTTTGGGGTCAGTTAGAAGAAATTAATACCTTCATTCAAGTGAAAGAAATATATTTTTTTTTTTACTTTTTATTCATCAATATTAATGGTTTTCGCACATATATAAAGCAGCACAACCGTTTCCTACATTGATAATAATAGGAAATGTTTCTTGAGGAGCAAATCGTAATATTAGAATGATTATTAGAAGGATCATGTGACACTGAAGACTGGAGTGATGATGCAGAAAATTCAGCTTTGCCATCACAATTAATAAATTACATTTTAAATAATTTAAAATAGAAAAGTTTAGTGACATTTCACAATATTTCAGTTTTACTGTATTTGTTATCAAATGAATGCATAATATGCATAATATAAATGCAATATTTAAAAAATTCCACAGGTCTCTTCTCTATTATAATAAACATAATTATTTTATTATTGTACTACTTAATATCCTAATGATTTTTGGCATAAAAGAAAAATCAATAATTTTGACCCATACAATGTATTTTTGGCTATTGCTACAAATATACCCCAGCGACTTAAGACTGGTTTTGTGGTCCAGGGTCACATTTTTGATTCAATGCCATTTTAGAACTACAACTTTTTGTGGAAAGTTGGAAAGGGGTAAATGATGACAAAATTCTTATTTTTGGCTGAACTGACCCTTTAAAATATAAGGTCAACTGCAAAATCGCTGGTAACAAAAAATATTGGCACGACTAGTTTCAGGGACGTCTGCGAGATATACCTTCAGCTCCTTTCCAGAAGGCACGAGGCCCCTCCTCCTGAAGAATCTTCCAGAAACAGTCAATGAGTCCATTGTACATGGTCTGGCCTGCACGGGCAGCCACTTGTAACCGGGTCTTGATAAAGAAATTAATACCTTCATTCAAGTGAAAGAAATATATTTTTTTTTTTACTTTTTATTCATCAATATTAATGGTTTTCGCACATATATAAAGCAGCACAACCGTTTCCTACATTGATAATAATAGGAAATGTTTCTTGAGGAGCAAATCGTAATATTAGAATGATTATTAGAAGGATCATGTGACACTGAAGACTGGAGTGATGATGCAGAAAATTCAGCTTTGCCATCACAATTAATAAATTACATTTTAAATAATTTAAAATAGAAAAGTTTAGTGACATTTCACAATATTTCAGTTTTACTGTATTTGTTATCAAATAAATGCATAATATGCATAATATAAATGCAATATTTAAAAAATTCCACAGGTCTCTTCTCTATTATAATAAACATAATTATTTTATTATTGTACAATATCAATAATACTTTATATATATATATATATATATATATATATATATAACTAAGGGCCAGATTTACTAAACAGGGCAAATTAGCAGTAGAGCGCAATTCCGTAAAAGAATTTCTGCGGGGGAAATTCTGCGGGTGATTTACTGACAATGCGCACATTAAAGAACACAGACA